CGCAATGATATGGATGACTACGAAAAGTATTTTAACATTAATTTTTAAGATAAAAAAGGAATTAAGAGATAGTGTGAAGGGAATTCGACAATATTGAGTTAAATATTGAAATGCGTTATTTACTAGACATCTTGGGAAACTTGATTTTTTAATGGCAATTTTATTTCAAGTTTCTCAATCAGGGATTGATTTTACTCTAATTTGACTACATTGTAGTATAGGTAAATTATTTAAGAAATTGCAAATTTTCTATAATTGCGGTATAATAATAAAAAGTTAGCATGAGATGCTATTAACACAGATTATCTTCTATAGCATATCACTACTCACTATCACGATAATATTTCTTTTTTTTAGGAAAATACGTAAGAAACGTATTATAGTTACCAAAGAAACTACCAAAGAAGAAGATAAAAAAAATAATAAACTACACAAGAAAAATAAGCAAAAAGAGCGCAAGCAAACACTAGAACAAGAGAATATAACACAGGACGACATAAAACAAATTTATAAAGAAGATTTAGAAATAGTAGATATTATAAAACCATTAGGTAAATGGACAAAAATGGTTATGCAGAATGGAGGTCTTGTGTTACGTTTTGCACAGTTAATAAAAAGTGAGGGTAGTAATAAGGGATTTTGGCAGTTATTTGTTAAAGCACAATCTTCAACCAAAAGAAAAAACAAGGATAAAGGTAGATAATTTATGCTTGAATGTAAAAATTTATCCTGTACTCGCAATAATAAAACATTGTTTAAAAATCTCAGTTTTAATGCTGAGCCACAATCTAAAATTTTAATCACCGGACAAAATGGTAGTGGTAAAACTACTCTCATCAGAAGTTTATGCGGGCTACTACCACCTACATCTGGTAATATTAAGTATTATGATAATGATATATATGAAAACCCTAAACTCTATACATCCGCTATGGCATATATAGGACATAAAAATGCTTGTAAGGACAATCTCACTGTCATGCAAAATATAGAATATTGGGCAGGAGTACGCAATACAAGAGAATTAATTATAGCAGCCGTCTGTTGTTTACAGTTACAACCTGTACTAAACATCAGATATAGTGAGCTTTCTTCAGGCTGGAGAAGAAGGGTTGCACTTGCTCGTCTTTTAGTTTCTAATGCTAACATTTGGTTCATAGACGAACCATTTTGTAACCTTGATAATACAGCATATGATTTAGTGATTAACCTTATTAAAATACATTCTGAGCAGAATGGTATAGTAATAATTACAGGCCCGAGTTTTACAGAGCAACCATCTGGCTTCAGAACAATTAGCATGTGTGATTTTAGTGACTAGAGCTCAGTAGACCTTTTGTAAACCTGGTAAACTATCTTTAT